TGACTGATGTTGCAGTACCCAGGCTTAGGCTTGGTTACTGACTGATGTTGTAGTACCAAGGCTTGGTTTGGGTTTTACTGACTGATGTTGCGTACCCAGCTTACTTGGTTACTGATGATGTTGTAGTACCAAGGCTTAGGCTTGGTTACTGACTGAGGGTAGTGTACCAAGGCTTAGGCTTGGTTACTGATGATGTTGCGTACCCAGGTTAGCTTGGTTCTGGACTGATGTTGTAGTACCCAGTTTAACTTGGTTACTGATGATGTGCAGTACCCAGGCTTAGCTTAGTTACTGACTGATGTTTGAGTCCCAAGCTTAGGTTTGGTTACTGACTGATGTGAGTACCAAGGCTTAGGCTTGGTTACTGACTGATTTTGCAGTACCCAGGTTAGGCTTGTTACGACTGATTTTGGGATACCCAGGCTTAGACTGGTTGCTGACTGTTGTAGTACTCAGGCTTAGGCTTGGTTACTAAATTGTGTTGCAGTACCAGGCTTAGGCTTGGTTACTGACTGATGTTGCAGTACCAAGGCTTAGGCTTGGTTACTGATTGATGTTGTAGTACCCAGGCTTAGGCTTGGTTACTGACTGATGTTGCAGTACCCAGGTTTAGGCTTGGTTACTGACTGATGTTGTAGTACCCAGGCTTAGGCTTGGTTACTGGTTGATGTTGTAGTACCCAGGCTTAGGCTTGGTTACTGACCGATGTTGCAGTACCCAGGCTTAGGCTTGGTTACTGATTGATGTTGCAGTACCCAGGCTTAGGCTTGGTTACTGACTGATGTTGCAGTACCAAGGCTTAGGCTTGGTTACTGATTGATGTTGTAGTACCCAGGCTTAGGCTTGGTTACTGATTGATGTTGTAGTACCCAGGCTTAGGCTTGGTTACTGATTGATGTTGTAGTACCCAGGCTTAGGCTTGGTTACTGATTGATGTTGCAGTACCCAGGCTTAGGCTTGGTTACTGACTGATGTTGCAGTACTCAGGCCTAGGCTTGGTTACTGACTGATGTTGCAGTACCCAGGCTTAGGCTTGGTTACTGATTGATGTTGTAATACCCAGGCTTAGGCTTGGTTACTGACTGATGTTGCAGTACTCACGCTTAGGCTTGGTTACTGACTGATGTTGCAGTACCCAGGCTTAGGCTTGGTTACTGACTGATGTTGCAGTACCCAGGCTTAGGCTTGGTTACTGATTGATGTTGTAGTACCCAGGCTTAGGCTTGGTTACTGATTGATGTTGTAGTACCCAGGCTTAGGCTTCGTTACTGACTGATGTTTTAGTACCCAGGCTTAGGCTTGGTTACTGACTGATGTTGCAGTACTCAGGCTTAAGCTTGGTTATTGATTGATGTTGTAGTACCCAGGCATAGGCTTGGTTATTGATTGATGTTGTAGTACCCAGGCTTAGGCTTGGTTACTGACTGATGTTGCAGTACCCAGACTTAGGCTTTGCTATTGATTGATGTTGTAGTACCCAGGCTTAGGCTTGGTTACTGAACTGATGTTGCAGTACCGACTTAGGCTTTGCTATTGATTGATGTTGCAGTACCCAGGCTTAGGCTTGGTTACTGATTGATGTTGTAGTACCCAGGCTTAGGCTTGGTTACTGACTGATGTTGCAGTACCCAGACTTAGGCTTTGCTATTGATTGATGTTGTAGTACCCAGGCTTAGGCTTGGTTACTGACTGATGTTGCAGTACCCAGACTTAGGCTTTGCTATTGATTGATGTTGTAGTACCCAGGCTTAGGCTTGGTTACTGACTGATGTTGTAGTACCCAGGTTTAGGCTTGGTTACTGATTGATGTTGCAGTACTCAGGCTTAGGCTTGGTTACTGACTGATGTTGCAGTACCAAGGCTTAGACTTGGTTACTGACTGATGTTGTAGTACCCAGGCTTAGGCTTGGTTACTGACTGATGTTGTAGTACTCAGGCTTAGGCTTGGTTACTGATTGATGTTGTAGTACCCAGGCTTAGGCTTGGTTACTGACTGATGTTGCAGTACCCAGGCTTAGGCTTGGTTAATGACTGATGTTGCAGTACCCAGGCTTAGGCTTGGTTAATGACGGGAAATGTTGCAGTACCAGCTTAGGCTTGGTTAATGACTGATGTTGCAGTACTCAGGCTTAGGCTTGGTTACTGACTGATGTTGCAGTACCCAGGCTTAGGCTTGGTTACTGACTGAGTTGTAGTACCCAGGCTTGGGCTTGGTTACTGACTGTGTTGCAGTATCAGGCTTAGGCTTGGTTAACTGACTGATGTTGTAGTACCCGGGCTTGGGCCCTGGTTACTGACTGATTTTGGGTAGTACTCAGGCTTAGGCTTGGTTACTGACTGATGTTGTAGTACCCAGGCTTAGGCTTGGTTACTGACTGATGTTGCAGTACCCAGGCTTAGGCTTGGTTACTGATTGATGTTGTAGTACCCAGACTTAGGCTTGGTTACTGACTGATGTTGCAGTACCCAGTTTAGGCTTTGCTATTGATTGAGTTGTAGTACCCAGGCTTAGGCTTGGTTACTGACTGATGTTGCAGTACCCAGACTTAGGCTTTGCTATTGATTGATGTTGTAGTACCCAGGCTTAGGCTTGGTTAATGACTGATGTTGCAGTACTCAGGCTTAGGCTTGGTTATTGATTGATGTTGTAGTACCCAGGCTTAGGCTTGGTTAATGACTGATGTTGCAGTACCCAGACTTAGGCTTTGCTATTAATTGATGTTGCAGTACCCAGGCTTAGGCTTGGTTAATGACTGATGTTGCAGTACTCAGGCTTAGGCTTGGTTACTGATTGATGTTGCAGTACCCAGGCTTAGGCTTTGCTATTGATTGATGTTGCAGTACCCAGGCTTAGGCTTGGTTACTGATTGATGTTGTAGTACCCAGGCTTAGGCTTGGTTACTGACTGATGTTGCAGTACCCAGACTTAGGCTTTGCTATTGATTGATGTTGTAGTTCCCAGGCTTAGGCTTGGTTACTGGTTGATGTTGTAGTACCCAGACTTAGGTTTGGCTACTGATTGATGTTGTAGTATCCAGGTTTAGGCTTGGTTACTGACTGATGTTGCAGTACCCAGGCTTAGGCTTGGTTACTGACTGATGTTGTAGTACCCAGGCTTAGGCTTGGTTACTGATTGATGTTGCAGTACCCATGCTTAGGCTTTGCTACTGATTGATGTTTTAGTACCCATGCTTAGGCTTGGTTACTGACTGATGTTGCAGTACCCAGGCTTAGGCTTGGTTACTGATTGATGTTGTAGTACCCATGCTTAGGCTTTGCTACTGATTGATGTTTTAGTACCCAGGCTTAGGCTTGGTTACTGACTGATGTTGCAGTACCCAGACTTAGGCTTGACTACTGATTGATGTAGTACCCAGGCTTAGGCTTGGTTACTGACTGATGTTGTAGTACACAAGCTTAGGCTTGGTTACTGACTGATGTTGTAGTTCCCAGGCTTAGGCTTGGTTACTGACTGATGTTGCAGTACCCAGGCCTAGGCTTGGTTACTGACTGATGTTGTAGTACCCAGGCTTAGGCTTGGTTACTGATTGATGTTGTAGTACCCAGGCTTAGGCTTGGTTACTGACTGATATTGTAGTACCCAGGCTTAGGCTTGGTCACTGACTGATGTTGCAGTACCCAGGCTTAGGCTTGGTTACTGACTGATGTTGTAGTACCCAGCTTAGGCTTGGTTATGACGATGTTGTAGTACCCATGCCTAGGCTTAGTTACTGACTGATGTTGTAGTACCCAGGCATAGGCTTGGTTACTGACTGATGTTGCAGTACCCAGGCTTAGGCTTGGTTACTGACTGATGTTGCAGTACCCAGGCTTAGGCTTGGTTACTGACTGATGTTGTAGTACCCAGGCATAGGCTTGGTTACTGACTGATGTTGTAGTACCCATGCCTAGGCTTAGTTACTGACTGATGTTGTAGTACCCAGGCATAGGCTTGGTTACTGACTGATGTTGCAGTACCCAGGCTTAGGTTTGGGTTTTACTGACTAAATGTTTAGTACCCGGGCCTAGGCTTAGTTATGACTGAGGGTTGTAGTACCAGGCATAGGCTTGGTTACTGACTGATGTTGCAGTACCCAGGCTTAGGCTTGGTTACTGACTGATGTTGCAGTACCCAGGCTTAGGCTTGGTTACTGACTGATGTTGCAGTACCCAGGCTTAGTCTTGGTTACTGATTGATGTAGTACCCAGGCTTAGGCTTGGTTACTGGTTGATGTTGTAGTACCCAGACTTAGGCTTGGCTACTGACTGATGTAGTACCCAGGCTTAGGCTTGGTTACTGACTGATGTTGCAGTACCCAGGCTTAGGCTTGGTTACTGACTGATGCTGTAGTAGCCTGGCTTAGGCGTAATTACAAGTACTTCTGGCAGTTTGCCAGACACACAGATGATGATCAAACTATAAACTAAATACAAAAGAACGTGGTTAGCCCTATGGTCACTTTCTTGTATACTGTCCTTAATTTTCCATTTACTGAGGAATATAAATATAATAACCTGTGCAATATGTCATGATATATTTTTAATGAAAATAAGATGCCAGACACAAATGGAGTGCACAATAAACTATCCAGTACCGTCCACAATATGGATATGGGATGCATAGTGAACTAACCACTACCGTCGACAGGATAGATAGATAGATAGGGTGCACAATGAACTAGTTACTTCCGTCCACAGGATAGATATGGAGTGAACAATAACCTAGCCGCTTCGGCGGTAAAATATGAAGTGAAATCCGTGCATGGTTCCCTTGCCTTGCGTACCGAGATGAGAGGACTGCGAGGCTTCTGCTCCAGAGGAGGAAGAGACTTGGGTTTCCGTCTGTGTTCTTCAGCGGGTGTGGGCCGCCCACCACCCATCACATGACTTTCCTCCGACGCCCTGCCGCCCATGCACGTCATGAGGTAAAGACAAATATACATAAATTAATTAGTAAGCAAATACACTGATGGCGACACATAAATAGGTGAATATATATTATTGTGTATTGATTTTTTTGGTAAGACACTGGCCATCTCCCACCGCGGTAAGGTGACCCGAGAAAAAAATGGAAAATACTTTAAGCGTTATTCATTCAATCACTGTCTTCAAAGAAGAGTGCTGAAATGACAGTTCAAATTACTCTCCAAACTGCAACATTCCAACACCTCCTTGAGAGTGCTAGTTACTGTACCACCCACCTCCAGGACTCAAGTCCAGCTAACCTGTTTCCCTGAGCCCCTTCATATTTGTTACCTTGTTTATACTCCAACTGCTTGTCAGGTCATTAAAAAAACACAGTCACACACGTCTGTTGGATGTCCAAGCCCCTAGCATACAAAACTTCCTTTACTCCCTCCCTCCAACCTTTCCTAGGACAACCCCTAATCCCCCTCCCCTCCACCCCAGATTTACACACCCTACAGCATTGATAGTTTTGACAGTTAATGTAAAAATATACAATAACCTGAATCGTTACCCTAATTCTATTGGTAATCTTTTGATTACCTTCGATATTTTGCTTTTCCTTGTCCTTATACTCTGTTGTTATTGTTGTTAGAATCCACCTTTTAAAACAAAGTGACTTGGTTTGTAGCGTCCTCATCTCAAACTATGAGCGTCTGGGATTGATCCCCGGCACGGGTGGAAACGTTGGGCACGTTTCCTTATTCGTGCTGCCCCTATTCACCTATCTGTAAGTAGGTACCTGGGTATCAGCCGCCTTACACCTGCTGCCCCTGTTCACCTAGCAGTAAGTAGGTATCTGAGTGTCAGTCGACTGTTGTGGGTGGCATTCTGGGGGGACAAGATTAACCTAAGTTGCCAGAAATGCTCTTCATAACCAGGGACTTTCTATATAACATATCAGTGCTGTCAACTATGGTCTAAATTAGCTGTATCATGTACTTGCAGAAATAGAATATTAATACATGTATTAACTTTTCTAATTACAGAGTTCAGAAAACAAGTCTATGGAATTTTGACTCCACCTTTCAAAAAGATTGGCCTGGTTTCTCATTTTCTTTGATTCAGTATTGTTCAATCAATATCGTTCAATCAGTATTGTTCAGTCAATATTTTCAGTCAACACTCAACAAGGCTATTAAAACTATCAAAGAATTTCGCGTCAACATTATGGAATAATGTGCCTTTAACTGGGTAGTAAAACTGAAAGTAATATTACCAGGAGTAATCTGAAAGTAATATTATCAGAAATATCTGAGAGAAATATCACATATATATCACTGAATACCCTGGATAAACACCCCTTATAATATTTTTTTTTATCACACTGGCTGATTCCCACCAAGGCAGGGTGGCCCGAAAAAGAAAAACTTTCACCATCATTCACTCCATCACTGTCTTGCCAGAAGGGTGCTCTACACTACAGTTTTTAAACTGCAACATTAACACCCCTCCTTCAGAGTGCAGGCACTGTACTTCCCATCTCCAGGACTCAAGTCCGGCCTGCCGGTTTCCCTGAACCCCTTCATAAATGTTACTTTGCTCACACTCCAACAGCACGTCAAGTATTAGGAACCATTTGTCTCCATTCACTCCTATCAAACACGCTCACGCATGCCTGCTGGAAGTCCAAGCCCCTCGCACACTAAACCTCCTTTACCCCCTCCCTCCAGCCTTTCCTAGGCCGACCCCTACCCCGCCTTCCTTCCACTACAGACTGATACACTCTTGAAGTCACTTTGTTTCGCTCCATTCTCTCTACATGTCCGAACCACCTCAACAACCCTTCCTCAGCCCTCTGGATAACAGTTTTGGTAATCCCGCACCTCCTCCTAACTTCCAAACTACGAATTCTCTGCATTATATTCACACCACACATTACCCTCAGACATGACATCTCCACTGCCTCCAGCCTTCTCCTCGCTGCAACATTCATCACCCATGCTTCACACTCATATAAGAGCGTTGGTAAAACTATACTCTCATATATTCCCCTCTTTGCCTCCAAGGACAAAGTTCTTTGTCTCCACAGACTCCTAAGTGCACCACTCACTCTTTTCCCTCATCAATTCTATGATTCACCTCATCTTTCATAGACCCATCCGCTGACACGTCCACTCCCAAATATCTGAATACATTCACCTCCTCCATACTCTCTCCCTCCAATCTGATATCCAATCTTTCATCACCTAATCTTTTTGTTATCCTCATAACCTTACTCTTTCCTGGATTCACTTTTAATTTTCTTCTTTTGCACACCCTACCAAATTCATCCACCAATCTCTGCAACTTCTCTTCAGAATCTCCCAAGAGCACAGTGTCATCAGCAAAGAGCAACTGTGACAACTCCCACTTTATGTGTGATTCTTTATCTTTTAACTCCACGCCTCTTGCCAAGACCCTCGCATATACTTCTCTTACAACCCCATCTATAAATATATTAAACAACCACGGTGACATCACACATCCTTGTCTAAGGCCTACTTTTACTGGGAAATAATTTCCCTCTTTCCTACATACTCTAACTTGAGCCTCACTATCCTCGTAAAAACTCTTCACTGCTTTCAGTAACCTACCTCCTACACCATACACCTGCAACATCTGCCACATTGCCCCCCTATCCACCCTGTCATACGCCTTTTCCAAATCCATAAATGCCACAAAGACCTCTTTAGCCTTATCTAAATGCTGTTCACTTATATGTTTCACTGTAAACACCTGGTCCACACACCCCCTACCTTTCCTAAAGCCTCCCTGTTCATCTGCTATCCTATTCTCCGTCTTACTCTTAATTCTTTCAATAATAACTGTGCCATACACTTTACCAGGTATACTCAACAGACTTATCCCCCTATAATTTTTGCACTCTCTTTTGTCCCCTTTGCCTTTATACAAAGGAACTATGCATGCTCTCTGCCAATCCCTAGGTACCTTACCCTCTTCCACACATTTATTAAATAATTGCACCAACCACTCCAAAACTATATCCCCACCTGCTTTTAACATTTCTATCTTTATCCCATCAATCCCGGCTGCCTTACCCCCTTTCATTTTACCTACTGCCTCACGAACTTCCCCCACACTCACAACTGGCGCTTTCTCACTCCTACAAGATGTTTTTCCTCCTTGCCCTATACACGAAATCACAGCTTCCCTATCTTCATCAACATTTAACAATTCCTCAAAATATTCCCTCCATCTTCCCAATACCTCTAACTCTCCATTTAATAACTCTCCTCTCCTATTTTTAACTGACAAATTCATTTGTTCTCTAGGCTTCCTTTACTTGTTAATCTCACTCCAAAACTTTTTCTTATTTTCAACAAAATTTGTTGATAACATCTCACCCACACTCTCATTTGCTCTCTTTTTACATTGCTTCACCACTCTCTTAACCTCTCTCTTTTTCTCCATATACTCTTCCCTCCTTGCATCACTTCTGCTTTGTAAAAACTTCTCATATGCTAACTTTTTCTCCCTTACTACTCTCTTTACATCATCATTCCACCAATCGCTCCTCTTCCCTCCCGCACCCACTTTCCTGTAACCACAAACTTCTGCTGAACACTCCAACACTACATTTTTAAACCTAACCCCATACCTCTTCGACCCCATTTCCTATGCTCTCATTAGCCCATCTATCCTCCAATAGCTGTTTATATCTTACCCTAACTGCCTCCTCTTTTAGTAATATAATAATAATAATAATAATAAAAAATAATAATAATAATAAATAATAATAATAATAATAATAATAATTCTAATAATAATAATAATAATAATAATAATAATAATAATAATAATAATAATAATAATAATAATTCTGATAATAATAATAATCATTATTTCTACATGATACAACTTATACAGACCATAGCTGACATCAATGGCATACTGCTATATAGAAATCCCCCGGTTATGCAGAGCATTTAGGGCAAATTAGGTAAATTTTGTCCCCCAGGATGCGACCCACACCAGTCGACTAACGCCCAGGTATCTATTTTACTGATGGGTGTCTTAAGGAAACGCGCCTTAATGTTTCCACCCGTACCGGGGACTGAACCACGGACCTCAGTGTCTGAGCTGAATGCGCTACCAACCCAGCTACAAAACACTTAATCCAAGCTTCAGCTAACATTGTTTGCTCACTGTTAAAACTTAAGTAAACAAATTACTTTCTTTCCAGTTGTTTGCTGTTGTTAAGCTGGGATATTAATTTTTTAATGACTTGTTGTTGTAGTTAATGGTTGGCTGGTTAATGGGGAGGGGGTTTAAAGCCTATCTACTGTACGAGGGTCATTAAGACTACACGTCACCTTTCTACGTATTAAAATATTCTTTAATACTTAAAATAAGGGTAAAAGCAAACTCTCAGTGTGTATACACAGAAATACACTTCTAAGTGTGTATATCAAGTGTCAAATTTTAGTTCATGGGATAAGAATCAAATTCAAAATTTGGCAATAGGAATAAGTCGTAACTTTACTGTTTAATAAAGTTTTTTTTAATAATCGTAAAACGAAACCTGGTGTTTCTAGTATTATCGTTGAGCCATTAAAATAAAATAAAGATTAATGATTTGTAAAGTAATTAATTAACGAGACACTCGTTTAGATATTAATCTTAACGAGTTTTTTATTATTGACAAATTGTGAGTCTGAGATCAACAATTTATTGTATACACACACACACACACACACACACACACACACACACACACACACACACACACACACACACACACACACACACACACCACACACTCACACACACACACACACACACACACACACACACACACACACACATATATATATATATATATATAATATATATATATATATATATATATATATATATATATATATATATATATATATATATATATATATATATATATATATAATATATATATATATATATATTTACGTAATTCC